GCACAATGATCGGACAAACACTGAAGACAGGACACAGCATATAAAGGCAAACTAATTAGGGCAACAAGACACACCTGGAACTGAGAAATTCTCCTAGGGTTGAAATGACCTGTCATGGCCTAAATAGAGTTCAGTTTGTGACAGAGTTCCTGTCCTCTCGTCAGGCCTGTCCGAGGCCTGCTTCGAGGCAGTAAATCTTGTTTCTTCACTCGAGGTGACCCCTACAATAGTCATTTCTACATTTTTTTGTGGAGATCACCTCCTAATAAATGTCATTACAGAAAATCTAACTGCTCATTTTAAATCAAAACTTTTACTTTTAATACTTAAGTACAAAGAATATTTGATACTTTAAGACTTTTACTCAAGTAATATTCTTAAAGGAGACTAACTTTTACCAAAGTAAATTTTTAGTAAGATACTTGTAATTTTACTCAAGTATCACTTTGTGGTACTTTATACAACACTGGTTGTTTGTCTATCTGGACCGCATAAATACACACCTCTTACTACAACACTTAAAGAAATTAGCTTCAGGTGTTTTATGTTTCTGAAGATAAACCAGGTTGCGAATGGTATTTCATGCTGAGAGCACAGGGGCACCACCAAGAGGGTTATGAGGAGGCAGTAGCCACCCCCCATAAATTGGTGTGGATTTTGAATTTTACCCTGTTGTCACTGCTTTGCATTTAAAGCATACCAGGAATGGCCAGGTTCCTGAGCGCGCTCAGTCCAGCGTGTTGAACAGACACGTCTCCTTCTTCTAYGTGTTGCTCCAGCAAGGTGAGGATGTGTGAAACCACACCGAGGTCCAGCATCTTCACACAGTTACTGTCTGACACAGCAAAGACAAATGCAAACGTTGGTTCCAGTTTTAAACAGAATCACACATTTTACACAAACTGCATTCCCATACAATAATAAGTTAGTCTGTAACTTCTAATGCAGTGAAGACACGCAAAGTTGCATCTTTTGTAGATTTTTTTCATAGAACCTATGTAGTAATACTGTAATTCAGTGATTCCCAACCAGGGGTACGTGTACCACTTGAGGTACGCGAGCATATTACAGGGGGTGCATGGAAACTTTCCAAGGTGTGTAAAAAAATAAATAAAAATAGGTCTGGGAGAAGGGCCCTATGATTTCTGCAATGCAGAAAATGGAGACAGAATCACGAAATCCTGTATAAAACGTGGAATCTCACAAAATTTACTCATTTGGGGTATTTGATGTATTTTGGACGCTGCTGCTTCCTTCACCTGCCATTACCTGCTTTATTAATTTAATTACTTATTCACTTTCACGGCAATGGTTTTTTCTTTGCTTAATTTGAGTTGAAAAAAATTAAATGCCTGAGAATTAAATGTTCTAGGGAGTTAAATAAATATTTTTCATCTAATAATCAGTACATTACTACGGAAGCGTGTTGCTATCAGGCAGGAAAAAAAAAAATCCGAGCGCTATCACGTTATAACGTGATA